CACAACTCAACTACACAACTATTGAGAAAGAATTATTAGCAGTTGTCTTTGCTTTCGACAAATTTCGATCTTATCTCATNCTGAAGCTCATTATGAACTCATTAGTTCATAAAAAGAGCTTTAGAGCTTAGTATGAACTCATCAGTTCATAAAAAGAGCCTTAGAGCTCACGATGAACTCACTAGTTCATAAAAAGAGCCCTGGAGCTCAGTATGAACTCATTAGNAAATAAAGAACTACTTTTCTGCCCCAGCTCATCCTTAGTCTAATGGACAAGCAGAAGTCACGATCAGAACTATAAAGTCCGCTCTAAAGATCAAATTGGAAAATTTGAAGGGTAAATGGGTGGAGCACCTCCCAGAAGTACTATGGGCTTATAGAACAACCACTAGGTCAGCAACACAAGAGACTCCATTTGCTTTGGCTTTCGGTTCTGAGGTAGTGGCGCCTGTGGAAGTTGGGCTCCCTTCACTTAGAACAGAATTAGCAAACGAGGAAAACAATGATAATTCCCTTCTACTCAGTTTGGATCTGTTGGAAGAAAAAAGGGAGGCAACACTGAACAACATAAAAAGCTACCAAAGGAAGGCAGCTAGGTACTACGACAGGAAGGTCAAGCATAGAAGTTTCAAGGTTGGAGATCTGGTGTTGAGGAAGCTTCTACTGGCAAGAAAGGATCTCATTCTTGGGAAACTGGGGCCTAACTGGGAAGGTCCATACATAGTCTCTCGAGTGATTAGATCGGGAAATTATGAGTTACAAACAGAAGAAGGGAAAGTCTTGCCCCATTCATGGAATGCATAACATCTTAGAAAAAATTTTCAGTAAGTTTGTCTTGTATTATAAACCATTGTAAAAACAAAAATGAATAACAAGTCTGTGATTCATCTATCCTTATGAACACACAAAAAAAAAAAAGAGTCTTGGAGCTCAGTATGAACTCATTAGTTCATAAAAAGAGCCTTGGAGCTTAGAATAAACTCATTAGTTCATAAAAAGAGCCTTAGAGCTCACGATGAACTCATTAGTTCAAAAAAAGAGCCTTAGAGCTCACGATGAACTCATTAGTTCACAAAAAGAGCCCTGGAGCTCAGTATGAACTTATTAGTTCATAAAAAAGAGCTTTAGAGCTCACGATGAACTCACTGGTTCATAAAAAGAGCCCTAGAGCTCAGTATGAACGCATCAGTTCATAAAAAGAGCTTTAGAGCTCACGATGAACTCATCGGTTCATGGTAAGAACCTTAGGGTTCGCAATGAATTCATCAAAAGAGTCACGGAGCTTAGAAACATCAGAGATTACAAAACAAAAGACTTCTTCAAATTACAAATTGTTCACAATGTGCAGCAAATATAGGAAAGTTGAGGTTTTCAGAACATCAGCAGTTACAAAGAATCAATCAGAGCAAAATTCCTAGTCGTCTCTCCAACTCAGTTATCCTTTCTTTCAGACGAAGGTTCTCATCTTTCAGCTCATCGCTTTCCTTCTCAGTTGATGATAGAAGATCCATCAATTTTTGCCCAGCAGCAGAGAACAAAACTTTCCCCAGGCCATAGTCTGAGGTAGGGGAGGAAGAACCATCCCTTTTGCGCCTCTTCGAAGGAGCTCTAGTGTCTTCGCTCTTATCAGATTTTGAAGAAAAAGAGTCGGGTTCTGGAAAAAAAGGAAAGTCTCACTCAGCTGCAGCAGCACTAAACAAGTATAGATTGTCTGATGTCATGAGCTCAGAAAAGGACATGGGCTCAGCTTGGGTCATTAGTTCTGTCCTCGTCAATTCAAGCAAGTTCAGGTCAGGAACACTTGTACACAAAAAAAAAAAAAAAACAAGATAAGCAATAGCATCATAAAAATTTGATCCCAAGAAAGGGACCATCGTCACTCTCACCTTGGTAAGAATAGCTCTTTCAAGACCGAGGGACTCTACACTCCCTAGTGCCCACCTCGGAAGACCTCCACGAGTAACTTGATGCAAAGAAGAAGTGTTAGGCCCATCCCAAAGGAGGAGAGGGGAGATCAAACACTAAGCGACGTAGCTTGAAGTCTCTCCACCGAAAGCGGACAAAGCATGGAACTTCATCCTCCTCAATGTCAAAATAGTAAAGAAATTCTGTAACTGTAGGAAACTCGTCATTACCTCNAAGGAGGAGAGGGGAGATCAAACACTAAGCGACGTAGCTTGAAGTCTCTCCACCGAAAGCGGACAAAGCATGGAACTTCATCCTCCTCAATGGCAAAAACTAGGCATCGTACTCTTGCAATCATCATTATTGAAGGACAAGGAGCAAGAGTCTTCATTAAAGAGTGGATTAGCCGAGCTTCCGAGCTGGTGAACCGTTATATTTCTACTGTGTTAATTCCCCAACTCCCCGCCAATCCTCAGTATCATTCACTCGAGTCTAGTAGCTCTGATCCCAACAATTCCAATATTGTTCATTTCATTTACTCGTCATCACAAATTTGCATCACGTTGAAATACACCATCAGTTTTCAAACTTAACATCATTCGAGCTGATGAGGCTACAACGTTGGTATTCTCAGTTTTATAAAGTCCACGAGTTCTTTTTGTTTTCGTTTTTGTTTTTGTTTTTATTTTTATTTTTTTGTTTTTATTTATTTTTTATTTTTTTATTTTTTTCGGTCGTTCAGACTTGTTGATACTTTCCATTTGATGATGTATGCCACGGATGGTGGTTCCAACCACAACCACTTGGGCACTTCTGTATNATTTTTTTGTTTTTATTTTTTTTATTCTTTTTTATTTTTTTCGGTCGTTCAGACTTGTTGATACTTTCCATTTGATGATGTATGNTTGTTTTTATTTATTTTTTATTTTTTTATTTTTTTCGGTCGTTCAGACTTGTTGATACTTTCCATTTGATGATGTATGCCACGGATGGTGGTTCCAACCACAACCACTTGGGCACTTCTGTATGCAGGAGGTGTGATGGTGGTGGGGGCGGCGGTTAAGATACAGAGAGTATATCTATAGAATTGCGCTTTTATTTTGGTAATGAAATTAGTCCCGAAAAACAACCAATAAAAAAAAAGGTAGCTTTCCGATGAACTTTCAAAAGAGGGGTAATGGGCCCTCCTATGGCTGATGCAATCACAACACATCGTAAATTGCATATGGCAGACACCATATTTACCACCATCAACGGTTCACCTTAAAGCATTGAAAGACTTTAAATTTATTATGGTGGGCGCCACATTCCACAAGGGAAGGCAATCTCTCTATTTACACCTCACTTTCAATTCCTTACATACTGACAAACCACGTGCTGGCGTCCCACTGGTTCAATGCATGCCAAACCGAAAAAAAGTGTCTCCATTGCTCAATTGATCTGCCACAAAGCACCACAATCTCCACGACTGAAGGAAAGTAAAAGGGTTTGCCACGTGTCAAACCAACACGTCAAGGTGAAGAGGAAAGTGTAATTTCACTCATGTAAGTCCTTAATTCGAGTAGACTACGGTACAAAAAAACAGTTCGACGGTGTACTATTATTATAAATTTTGTGAGTTTTTTTTATAATTTTTGACAATTATTTATATTTTTTGTGATAACTTGTAATTAATATTAAAAATTTTAGGATTGATTGGCTCAAAAAAGTTGTGACTTCATTAAAAAAATTATAATTTTTTTTATTGAAAACAAACTACAAAATTTACATTAAAACACATAAAAATTATAAAATTTAAAGATATGATACGATATTTTTTTTTTGGCACCGAAGTCTTGTCCCCCTAGTCCGGTCAACAGAACACTTCTATCCAATAATGTAAACTCCACAAAAAAAATTAATTTTAATGCATTTAGATGATAAATAAGTAAGTTCACTAAATTTAATTGACATGAATTGAATTACATTTAATACACCTCCCACTAAATATAAATTATATATATATAAACAATAAGACATGAAACAAATCTATATATAATAATTATAAATGAACATCTATTGAGTGAGTTAATTTCGATACCATGAGATTTAAATGTGGAAATCTTCATTACCAAATTTTCTTTATTCTACACAGTTTTTGTGCATGTCAGCTGAGAAATTGAGTTTCGGGAGTTACGACACCATACCATTCCACTTCAAGGTCAACATGACATCACCTTCATTTAATATGCCATATCACTCCATGTGATCGACCCACATCACTTCTTTCGGCTAATATCCAATATTTTTGAATTATAGTATTACGTTATGTGCATTCAAAGTGTATGCGTTATTTTTCGTTGTGAACCGCATACTCAATGCAATCCCAATAGTAGTCCGCATCCACTCACGGCACTCCTAACCAAATTAGGGAGTAGCCACCAAATTAGTATGGGCCTAAGAACAATATTATTGTAATTTAATTTAGAGATTTAAATTTGATAGATTGTACTTATCAAATTGACCTTTGATCTTAGTGTTGGAGATGATTTGCGATCAATTTAATGTATACTATTTCACCACATCATTTAATGTAAAATATTTTTCAATTTTTAGCAAGTACATGTGGTATGTTCAAACTTATTTATATTAAATTAGTAAATATAAATTATCAAGTTAAAAATGTTTGAAAAAGTATTAAAGCAGAATCAATTTTCTGTATGTTAAAAATAAAAAGGGATGAATGCTAAAGTTAAAGAAGTATGTCTAAACTCTAATTTTTCTAGGTAAGTTTACATTAAGTAATAAGTTTGACTCTAAGTTTCAATATGTATGGCCATGTACAAAAATTATATTCAATACATTATACTTACATATATACTAGGACATGAAAGAATTAAGTGATCAGTATTTTTTTTTAGAGTCTAATTTTTGTACCCAATCTCACGATAAATAGGATAAATAAATACTTGTGATGATTTCAAATTCTTCCCTTTTTTTTTTTTTTTTTTTTTTTTGGCTTGGCATGAGATAAAATGTCCATGTTTTGTCCGCTTGTGCAAGTGGATTCAGATTATCGGCCTTGCAGCTTGGGATTGCAAACCCTTTCATAAACTATCTTGTGATGTAATGAATCACATCACCTCTCATCCCCACTCATGAGTCATCTATAAAACCCCCCAACACCCACGTCCGAACTCCCGTTGACATAACCTCTTTCTCTCTCCAACCACTTGCACACCTTCCTCAATAATTCTCCCTCTCTACAGGTGGTGATGCAAGGTGTCCGCCGCTACGATCCACTCTCCGACGGTGGAGTCCGTCTTGAACTAACGCCAACCACCAGTTCTCCGCTAGCCATCGATGTCGGCGAGTCCACGGAGATGCGAATCCAGCGTCTCATATCTGAAAACCCAGTGATCATTTTCAGCAGTTCCTCTTGCTACATGTGCCATGTGATGAAAAATCTCTTGTCTTCAATTGGTGTGCACCCCACCGTTATCGAATTGGAGGACGAAGAGATCGGTGCTCTCTCCGCCCACGATCGAGGCGACGGGAGTAGCAGCGGCGGTGGTGCGCCGGCGGTGTTCATAGGTGGGACACGTGTTGGTGGGTTTGAGAGCCTGGTGGCGTTACACCTGAGTGGTGACCTAGTGCCTAAGCTCGAACATGTTGGTGCTCTCCGGGGTATTGGATTGTAATTTTTAAGATGTTGATTTGGGGATGTTGTTGTAATTCCAAAAAAAACCAATATTAGGAGAGAATAATTAGTTTTCTATGTTCCTTTCTGTCAATATTAGTCCTTGGATTGGTACTTGGTATGGGTAGATTATTTAAATGATCCTTGAAATTGGGGATTTTGCTAGTAGATTGCAGTTGATGATTTGTTGGGGGTGAAGGCATGTATTAAGATTTCCTTATATATTTTCCGGCTACGATTGACAATTTGTAATACATGATTTAATATATAATTATTGTTGAAGGTAGTTAATATGCAGCTAAATTCACGGCTGTGGTCGTATTGAATGGGTTTTTATTTTACGTTTTTGATCATCCGTATTGAATCAGTCGACTACAAGAAATTCTTTCTTATTCTAATAGAAAATATTATCATAGATATTCAAATGATTTTTGATACAACTTTATTTTTCGGTTCATTAAATGATGGAATGCCAATTATTAATGGGGAAAAACTCAGTTATAAATAATAGAGTAATGTTAAATGGACTGAAAAATTAGACTTGATAATCTCAATCACTAAATCGGTAGTAGATCCTAATAAATGTTGAATCAATGGTTCTAATTATCAAGTCTAATTTTTAAGTCCATGTAGCATTACTCTAAATAATAAGTTCTAATTATATTAATGACAAGTGAGGTATTGTAGGATTCCAAAATAATACAAAGCACTCAAAATAATCTAACATACAAGAATTAATCGAAGCACAAGAAAATAAAACAAGAAATCAAGAAATAAAAGTGATGTAAATCGTATTAGGAAAGAATTAAGAATGAGAAAAAGAAGAAGAAAGGGATAAGAAAAGTGAGAATTTAAGGAAGAAGTAATATCAGGATTCAATATAATTAATAATAATCAAAGTATTTCATAACGTATATCTATCTCCTATATATATAAGGAGTTTACAAATCCTATATATATATATATGAGGAAATCACAAACCATAAAATAAATAAATAATCAAAATAACAACTAAGTCCTTGAAAAATAAAATGACAAATAACTCCTAATCTCTACGTCTGCGTTTACTATAACAAAATATAATTTGATTCCTATCATTTCCCCTCAGCTGAAAAGAACTCGCTTCAGTAGAGAAACGATCAATAATAATGCTCCAAAAGATCAGGGTCAAGCCGACAAAACTCCTCCTCGGTTATCCATGAAGCATCAGTCTCTGGACGATCTCTCAACCTAACAAGATAACGACGATATCCTCTATCTTAGGAGCCGACAATCTGATCGTCAAGTACATTTGTAAGCTAGTCATGTAACTGTGGTGGAAACGGTGGAAGAATAGGAGCGGTAGGTGATGCTGATGACGAAGTAACTCCACTTCTAGGAACACCTACTAGCAACATGGGAGGCTCAAAAGTACTATGGTAAGGAAACAAGTCTTCCACATTGAAAATAAGACTAATACTCATATTCGAAGGTAAGTCAAGGTGATATGCATTAGTCCAAACTTACGAAGAATATGAAAAGGATCAGTGGCTTGAGCATGTAACTTTTTGAAATAATTTTTAGGGTAACGTTTAGAACGCACACGAACTGTGACATAATCTCTCACAATAAATTCTTTATTCCTACGGTGAACATTTGCAGCCAATTTATAATTCTCATTACTTAATTTAATTTTCTGTCTTATGTATACATGCAAATCATGAATATGCTGGGCAAAAGCTTCGGTAGAGTGTGAAGGGCGGAAATCAGGAGGTAAAGGTAATAAGTCAATAAGCTGTCTAGGGGAATGACCATTAACAATCTCAAAAGGGAATTTGCCAGTCGACTTGTTGACGGAGTTTTTATTGGCAAATATAGCAATAGGCAACAACAAATCCCAATTTCCTATCTTCTCAACCACTAGACACCTAAGAAAATCTCCTAAACTACGATTACGACCTCAGTTTGACCATCAGTTTGGGGATGAAAGACAGAGAAAAACTTAAGACTAGTTTCTAAATTGTCTTCCAAAAATAATCCAAAAATATTTCTTATCCCAAATTGATATAGATCGTAGTAGCTCTGATATCAAATAGATATAGATCGTATTAACTCTAATACCAAATTTATGTAGATCGTATTAGCGAAGAATTAGGACTAAGAAAGGGAAGAAGAAGAAGAAGAGGATGAGAAAAATGAGAGAATTCGAGGAAGAAGTACTATCAAGATTCAATATAATCAATAATAATCAAAGTATCTCATAACAAATATGTATCCCCTATATATATAAGGAGTTCACAAATCCTATATATATATATAAGTAGATCGCAAACTGTAAAATAAATAAATAATCAAAATGACAACTAAGTCTCTGAAAAATAAAATGACAAATAACTCTTAATCCCTATGTCTGTGCTTATTATAATGAAATATAATCCAATTCCTAAAAAAAAGAACTGAAAAACAAAAGAGAAAAGGATGGCATAGAAGATTATGTCGAAAGAAATTTTAACATCAAAGCTTCTGTCACCAAAACATAAAAAGACCAAAGATATTAAACACTAATCAAACTAATAACAAAGAAACTAATCCTAAATTAATTTTAATTAAATTACTCAAAACTAACTAAAATACTTTATGGGTAAAAACTCTTAAATTCATTAAAATTCTAATTAAAAACTAATACCAAATAAATAAAAAATAAAACACTTTGAGAGTTTAGATCAAACGCCAACAGCCTCCCTTGAACCAAACTCTTCAATCTGGATCATCCCCATCATTTGCTTCAATTTCAAGAATGCATCTGATTTAAGCGGCTTGGTAAAAATACCTGCAATCTAATCTTCCGAATGACAATAAAAGATCTCAATCTCGCCATCAATAACCAAGTCACAAATATAATGGTACTTGACATGAATATGCTTGGTCTTCCTATGAAAAACTGGATTCTTTGACAAAAAAATAGTTGATTGTTATCACATAAAATCTTTAAAGGAATTTTTTGTATTTGCAGCAAAAATCAAAGCATTCAAAGCAACCACATTGCTTGGGTAGCACAACTGGTGCCTGCATTATACTATGCTTCAATGGTAGAAAGAGCAACAACTTGTTGTTTCTTTGAAGACCAGGAAAAAATTCTTGAACCAATTTGAAAACAATTACCTGAAGTACTTTTGGCTTTTTTCACATCAACTCTCCAATCACTGTGTATCCTACAAGTTCACAAGAACCAGTAGGACAATAAAAAATATCATCACTCGGGGTACCTTTAACATAACTCAAAATTCTTTTAGCTACTTATAAGTGGGATTGACGTGGAAACTCCATGTACCAACTCCAAAAACAATATCAGGTGTAGTGGAAGTTAAATAACGTAAACTTCCCACCAACCATTTGAAATATGTGGGTTCACCAACTCACAATTTTCATCTTTACTCAATTTTAATATTTCTTCAACCGGAGTCAAAATAAGATTTACAAGAATCCATTCTAAAATGTTTAAGGATATCCCTAGCATACTTCTATTGGAAAATAAAAATCTCATTGTCTATCTGATTAACCTCAATCCCAAGAAAATAGGACATCAAACCCATATCAGTTATCTCAAATTGAGAAATCATTGCCTCCTTGAATTTCTTAATTATCTTTAGATTATTTTGAGCGAAAATAAGATCATCCACATATAAACACACAATAATAATATCTCCCCGAGAATTTGTTTTGACATACAAAGTGTGTTCATAGAGACATCTCTGAAAATCATTCTCTACAAAATAAGATCAATCCGAGTATACTAAGCTCTAGGAGGTTGTTTAAGCCCATACAAAGTCTTTTTCAACTTATAGACATTATTTTACTCTCATTTATTCACATAACCAACATGCTGCTCAACATAAACTTCCTCCTCAAGGACACCGTTCAAGAAAGTAGATTTCACATCCATTTGAAATATTTTCCTAGAAGTATTAGTAGCAAGAGAAATAATCATATGAACATTATCAAGCCGAGCAACAAGAGCAAGAACCTCAAGATAATCAATACATGATTTTTGTTTCTACTAACCTTGCTTTGAAGCGATTTGCCTTTTCGTCTGACTTGTATTTGGTCTAGTACACCCATTTAACTCCAATAACTTTCTTTCCCTTAGGAAGAGCAATAAGCTCCCATATATTATTTTTCTCAATGGCATTAATTTCTTCATCCATTGCTTTCACCCAATGTTTCTCCCTGCAGGCATCACTAAAAGAAATAGGGTCACAATCTGCATATAAAAAAAATTTACAAAATCCTCATATGAAGGATCACTGTCAGTGCCAATCACATAATCCTCCAATCTAGCGGACATGTGTCGTTCACACTGTGAACATCTAGATGACTCTGGCTGTGGGGATTGAATAGCTGGGGACTATTCAATTGGCTAATCACTAACTGAATCATCAACATCAAAAGAAACAGGTGTGGCTGACTTATCTTCCTTTCGGGACAAATCCCAAACATTCTACTCATCAAAAGTGACATCTCTACTAATAATTAATTTTCCTGTGATGCAATTATAAAGTTTGTACCCCTTTGTAACTAAACTATACCCAATAAAAATACACTTTGATGCCCCAAAATTCGGGTGTCTGTAATTACCTCATTGATCACCCATCAACCCGCAAAATACCCATTGAAACTGTGTAACTCGATACCACGCCGTTATGTCCCATTTATCGAAATCCACAACTTAACAAAATTCAGGGCAGAGTCTCCTTTGTATGGGGATTTCAACCCAAAACATAGCTTGTGCAATCATTTAACATTGATCCCACCGGGTCCATTCATCTATACTCAAATTGCATAGTATCGGATACTACCATAATCATCATCACTACGTACATTCATTCATAAAAGAATAAATGTCTCAAAAGAGTCTCATATACATGCCTTTTAAATATAAACAACTTTTGTTAAGAAAATTTATATAGGGCCAAAAGTAAACATATATAAGGGACCACAATGTCAAACTAAGAGCCACAGTCCGACTTTGTTGTCAAAGCGGACTAGTAGGAGGGCTTTTGGTGAAAGCCTGTGGTGTACTTGAAAATTATTTTCATAAAGGGTGAGTCAACGCTCAATAGGGTAACTCCTATAGAGAATACCTCTCAACCCAAATGCATGTGAAATGTTGATTGATCATTTTCCTTGTTGTTCCTAACCTCTTAACATCATCCCTCAATTGTGTATGGCTTATAGGAATAGGGGAGTGTCACTCTCCCTCGAAATGTTGCAAAAGATGGGGAAACAAAATATTGGTGGGTGAATGAAATGAAATGC